TTTCCAAGTCGGGATGGTGAGGGGCTCGGAGGGGAATGTGCAGGGGGGTAGTGTCCCCCTGTATCTGCTGCCCTTGTCCTTCTAGATGGAAGTGGGTCGTGGGTTTGGAGGGTGCTGCCTGAGGAACTTTGGTGAATTTCTGCAGAGCATCTTGTAGATGGTACACACTGCTGCGACTGAGCGTCGGTGGGGTGGGGGGGAGGGAGTGGGATGTTTGTGGATGTGGTGCCAATCGAGTGGGGGCTGCTTTGTCCTGGATGGTGTCGAGCTTCTTGAGTGTTGTCGGAGCTGCCCCCATCCAGGGGCAAGTGGGGAGTATTCCATCCTGACTTGTGCCTTGTAGATGGTGGGACAGGCTTTGGGGAGTCATACAGTACAGAAACAGTCCCTTCAGTCCAACTCGTCCATGCTGACCAAGTTTCCCAAACTAAACTAGTCCCATTTGCCAGCATTTGGCCCATATTCCTCAAAACCTTTCCGATTCATATACCCATCCAAATTTCTTTTACATTGTTGTAACTGTACCTGCATCTACTTCCTCTGGCAGCTCATTCCACATACAAACCACTCTCTGTGTGAAAACGTTGCCCCTCGGGTCCCTTTTAAATCTGTCTCCTCTCACCTTAAACCTATGGCCCTCTAGTTTTGAACTGCCCTACCCTGGGGGAAAGATCCTGGCTACTCACCTTATCTATGTCCTTCAAGATTTTATAAACCACTGTAAGGTCACCTCTCAACCTCCTTCACTCCAGGGAATAAAGTCCCAGCCTATACAGCATCTCCTTATAACTCAAACCCTCCTGGTAAATCTTTTCTGCACCCTCTCTAATTTAATAACTCCCTCCTATAGCAGAGTGACCAGAACTACACATAACACACCAGAAGAGGCCTCATATGAGATTTTAATTCCTATACTTAAAGGTCTGAGCAATGAAGGCAAGCGTGCTAAACACTTTCCTAACCACACACACACCGACATATAAACTGACGTTTTCCCAGCCACCATCAGTTCTGAGGAAGGGTCACTGGACCCGAAACGTTAACTCTGTTTTCTCTTTCTCAGATGCTGCCAGACCTGCTGAGCTTTTCCAGCAACTTTGTTTTTTTACCTTTTTAACCACCCTCTCTGTGTGTGACACAACCGAGCCTCTGACCTGCTCTTGTAGCCACAGTATTAATGACGCTGATCTAGTTCAGTTTCTATGTTTGTCTGTGTTTGAATCAGAGATTTACTAAAAGACACTTGACCCTTGTTTGTTCAGTTATTCAACTAGACCACAGCTGGTCATTGACCACCATTCACCCCCGAGCTGTCCCTCGATATCTTTAATCTCTAGAAACCTCTCAATCTCTATCTTGGACATTCTCAGTGGCTGAACCTCCATTGCCCTCTGGAGCAGAGAATTTCAAAGATCCCCCACCGTCTAAGTGAAGAAATTCCTCCTCAGCTCAGTTCAAAATAGCTCCACACCTCATCCTGAGGTGTGGAGAGGTGGAGAGAGATTGCGAGAGCATGAGAGCGAGAGCGTGAGAGAGCGAGAGAGAGCGAGAGTGAGAAAGAGAATTGAGACAGCGAGTGAGAGAGCGAGCGAGCATGAGAGTGAGAGAGAGTGAGAGAGAGTGAGAGTGAGTGAGAGAGAGTGAGAGAGAGAGCATGAGAGAGACAGTGTGACAGAGAGCGTGCGCGTGCGCGTGCCTGTGCCTGTGCCTGTGCCTGTGCCCGTGCCCGTCGGTCCCCTGGTTTTAGACACACAACAACCCCGCACCACCTTTCTCGCTTCCCCATCCCCCTCAAAGCCTGGGAGCAGGCGAGGAACCTTTTTATGCCATAAGATATAGGAGCAGAAATAGGCCATTCGGCCCATCATGTCTGCTCGCCATTCGATCACAGCTGATGTTTCTCAACCCCCATTCTCTTGCCTTCTCCCTGTAACCCTTGATCCTCTCGCTAAATCAAGAACCTATCTATCTCTACCTCAGATACGCTCAATAACTTGGCATCTGTAGGGTCACCACCCTCTCTGGGGCTGAAGAAAATCCACCAGAATCCCCCCCGCTAAAGCCTTGTAAGAATTTTGTATTCTTCAACCAGATCATACGGTGTGTACAAGGCCCTTCGATCCGTCTACACGACCAAAAATACAACACTACCTACACTAGGCCTCACAGCCTTCAATGTTATGACATTGCTCGTCCAAGTCCTTTTTAAAAAGTTGTGAGGTTTCTTGCCTCAACTCCCCTCCCTAGGCATTCCAGGTCTCCACCACCCTCAGCTTTTCCTCAAATCCCCTCGAAATCTCCTGCCTTTCATCACGCTAACCATCCCTCATTCTTCAAATCTCCAGAAACTCGCAGGCCCGGTCTCCTCAATCCCCACCACCACCCACCCTGCCCCCACCTCAATCCCCACCCCCCGCCTCATCCGACATCATCATCTCAGGGATCAGATCAGTCTTGGAGACCCTCCACTGTGACAGACATAGCCTTCCTTGGAGAAGGAGACCAGGATCACACTCTCACTCTCACTCACATACAAACACACTACTCCAGGTCAGGTCTCAACAAGACTCTCGCCAACTCCTCGATAAATACCCCAAAGGAGAAGGAATGGCAGGGTTACGGGGAAAGAGGGAGGGAAAGGGCCGAGGAATTGACAAGGAGCATGGTAGGCCTCCTAATGCCCCAGGGGCACAGGGAGGGGGCATTAGAGATCATTTACAAATAACTGAAGGCCCTGCCAACACTTGGTGGGCAGCCTGGCACAGAGGCAGTGGGCTGAAGGGGTCAGGGGTCAGAGGTCACCCAGCGAACAACGGGAAGAGGCCAGGCCTAGCACCTACTCACTTGGCGTAGGCTTTTTCCAGGAGGGCGCTCCAGAACTCGTTCCTCACCGCCGAGTGCACAAACACCAGCTTTCCATCTTTGACCGGGAGACGGTCATCGATCACCACATCTACCCATTCGCCAAATTGCCAGAACTGTAAGGGGTGGCGGGGAAGAGAGAGAAGCAGTTAACATCATCGAGGAACCCTCTCTACCCCAATCTCACCCACCTTCCTCCACCAAACGTCACCTGGAAATGGAGGTCTCCACACCAACCCCACCCCCAAAACTACCTGGGAAAGGAAGATTCCACCCCATTTTCCCCGCACCACCTCACTACATGGAAA